CGGGCTCAGCGCGGCAGCCATGCAAATTTAAATGAAGCGGCGATTATTTAAATGGCCGCTTCATTTTACTATGTCCGGCAGCCTAATCTACATGCCTCTGTCGCCAGAGGCATGTAGTCTAGACGTACCCTAAGAGAGCTCTCTGGAGCTTGCATTTCAATGTGATTTGAACCTCCTCTCCCTCCGAATCAATCGTAGTCAAGAGGATGTGGGATGGGGAGGGCTAGTGGAAGCCCCTTTGCCGGAGTAGACGAGGCCATGGAGCAGCATCTATGAGATCCCGTGCTCCCATGGGGTCCAACAAGGTGGGTAATGGGGAGGAGGGTTCAGCCACTCTGGATACCACGGCAGGTAGTATGGTCTTTCCCGGTACTGATGATAGTAACAAGATGCCGTAGAGAGGAGTGCTGTGAAGAAAAGACACTCCCTTTGATTGTATTCAGCAAGTCCGGGGAGCGTTCATTCAACAACTGAGATCTTACAGAGCATGGAGATGTGTAAGGTGAAAGAGGCACTGGAGAAGGTTCCCTTGATAGTGGGAGGGAACCCAGGTGCCTGGTTTATTATCAGGTGCTGGTGAGTTATGAGGAGCTGTGACTGGCTCCATGCGGTCAGCATGCTGCGGTGCCTGTGCCGTAGCCTCTACAGGAGGAGGCATCTTTATGATGTCAGCACACTGGGAAGCAGTGCCGAAGACTTGCAAGGCTGCTTCGCTGCCAGTTCCAAGCTCTTGCCCGGTGCCAGATCTTGTTTGTTGGCATAACTTCTCCAGTTCCATTGATGACCATGCCAGCCCCAGGTTAACGCGGGGTGCTGCTGCAATGGTGCCTACTGAGGATCTTGGCACCAAGATGCCAGAGGTGCTAGGCACATCTCCTGGGTTCACTGTGGCAGATGGGTTAGAGGGTAATGACTTCACCGGGGAGACCCCTCTGTTCTGGTGTTTGTGAGGCAAGAGGGAAGCAGCCCTTTTCCTCAGCAGGTCTCTTGGGGGCAGAACTGGCTCTGGCTCTTCTGTCGGTTGCAGCACCTTTTCAAACACTAGCCTCCAGAGCAGAAACTCCCAGTCCATCCTAGCCCTTGCTGTAAGGCTGCAGCAATGGTCACATTTTTGGGGTGAATGTGACTCCCCAGACAGTGTATAAAAAATGACTGGGGATTCAGTCCATCAACTAATTTGTTTCTGATATTTAAACAAATGCTGTTAAGTATAAATGTATACACAAAATGTGACCATCAGAAATGGGCATGAGGTCATTGCACTGCTGGCACTTTTTGAACCCTGGAGAGCTCGGCATAATAGTATATAGTCACCGTTCACTGAGCGTGAGGGTGGCCAATAAAGCTTCTACTCAAGATGTCTGTTCTTTCTTGTTTTGTTTTGTTTGTTTTGTAAAAACAGGAGAAAATGAGGAGAGGGAGGGTGAAAGCAATTGCAGCATGACAAAGGCTAAAATCAGGAGAAAATGAGGAGAGGGAGGGTGAAAGCAATTGCAGCATGACAAAGGCTGAGCTGCCGCCGAGGGTGAATTATCTTTCTTTTTTTTAAGAACAAGGTACAAGCAATGAGTAACTAATGAAGAAATGCTAAAAATTGGTAAAAGAGGCAGAAAAAAAACTGTAAAGCTGCGTAAGGAGAATAAACGCCTGAGGCGAAACATGAGCTCTGTCCGCAACCAAGGGTGGTGAGGAACTGAAGGGGGGGAGGGTCGGCCTATGGGGTGCCAAACCACCAGTGGTGTGAGGTGCCTTCTGCGCATGCACAGCCCAACAACTGCTAAGAAAAGCTCCGAACTATGGCTCTGGGGATGACCTGTCACCAACAGTGGAGCACCCATGGAGACATCACCCAAAGAAGAATGTAGGCATACAAGGATTGTGGAAAACAATGGAATATTTGTGAGGAATCCTGGAGGGCATGATTTTGTGATCTAAGTATCAATTATATTTTAAATCTCCTCAGGACATGGTCCTTTGTCATTTAAAGCAATGAACAGACTGTTGGCACTGAAGAAATTAATCTGAAATACATAGCGCTACTACAGGTCCAAATCTTGACAGGATATTCTAAGCATCCTATCTTTAAGGGACCTGCATAATATACATTTCTTGGACTGTGACATTTGGGACAGAATGCTCAATATTGAAATATTTTGTCATATTTGTTTAATTATTAGCAGATTTTACAGAGCAGGTTTTATCATTGTATGCCTAAAGAAAACACTCATTCAAAAAAGGGAGATAAATGATCAAATGTTCCATTTTCATTTATGCTATTGTTGCTGACAGCAAGCACTTAAGATTTCACATGAAAATGTGTCTTGTGAGCAAACGCATTATGGCTACCTTCTACCTTTTTTTTTTTTTTAAGAAGAATTTACATGTTAGTCATAAAAGAGAAAAAATGACTGGGGATTCAGTCCATCAACTAATTTGTTTCTGATATTTAAACAAATGCTGTTAAGTATAAATGTATACACAAAATGTGACCATCAGAAATGGGCGGCAAGGCTAAATTCCAATCTCATATTTCATTGAAAAGTTTAGGACAGATCTGTTTTCTTCACACATCATACCCATTTCATTGACTTAGTCCTACTGATGATTGTGCCTACTTCAAATGCATCCCATATAATATTTTGAAAGGAGACAGGACATGGCCTTATAGATATGCTTCTTTGTTCCTACAAGTGACTGAAGGTACAGTGATTTTATCTTTTTTTCCCTCTTCCCTCCCCTCACCCATAGCTCCAAAATGGACCATCCACTCCAATGCAATTCCTGCTTTAAAGCCCCTCCCCAAATAAATCACACAAACATTCAAACAAGTAACATACTGTATTTTTTATTTGTGGATAAAAATTAAGGCTCACAGTACTTGATATCATTTCACAAGCAAAAAAATGTTTAAAAAAATTGAGAATGATGGGAACTATCCCCCCATACAAATTCCTTTTTAAATGTTGACATGTCTCACCGAAGACCTGAGGTGAACAAGTTGTACAGGGCAGCTACACTTCTGGCTTTAATAAGCTATGTGCTAAATTTACTTATATTCTAAATGTAAAAATGTGCTATTCTCCCTTGCATCTGGCTGTACTACATATGTTGACTCCATAAAACCATTAAAGGAAGAATTGCTGGGATGGCAATTGATGTCAACCTCACTCAGAATAATCCAATACTTCCTAACTTTTTAGTATGAGTATTGAACACAAAAGATGGGAGACATTTTAAGACCTAGGAAACTTTCTGAAATAAGACATTCTGTTCATAATGCAGTATTTTATATACCCTAAATATATGCTAATATTAATTTTTCTAGTAAAAAAGATGTTCCTAAAAATATGGGTCATGTCAAACTCCACTTTATTAATAGGGACCTGAAAGCAATCCACTATGTTGTAGATCAGATACGATGACAATGTGCACATCAAACTTCATATACACACTGTATATGTGTATATACTATAACCATAGTTTAGATGCAACTCTTATGACAGTTTGACATGCACCAAATATGAAAAATGTTCTTCCTGAACGTACATCAAACTCAATGTTGCAGACACTAGGGTACAATTTATTTACCTTTATGTCATATTTAAACCTCTGAATGCTATAAGGAGGCTCTGTATTGTCTCTCCTTTTGAACTGCATCAAAGCTCTGAGACGATATATAGTCCATATTTACTTACATGAATGCCAACTAAAAGGACTTAGAAGAAAAGGCCTAATTCTAAAATTTAAAGAGATGCCCTCTAATTTTGGTAACAAACTTTAATTTGTTTCATTCTCCATCTCTTCTCCCTTCTATCTGGTCTGAAGATCTACTTCAGAACATTCGCAGAACTGGTGACAGCAGCAATAGCAAGTTTACCTACAGTAAGTGATAAAGGCTACATACCAAGTATTTAGACAATGTGCAGTATCTCTACAGCTCATTGAAATGAAATTGCTCTTTATCTACTTTTGACTGTGTAATTTGCTTATAATCTTTCTCTATATATATTCATGAAAATAACTATCCTCAGTACACTTACAACAAAAATTATAGTATTAAGGCCATAATTTTATCAGGGAGTTTTGTTAAAACTGAACTATGGAAGAGGAGTTAAAATGGGACCGAAAGATGGAATATTCTTCTGTCCCAATGAATACTTGTTAACTTTTGGTCATTATAGTGACTCTAATTGAAAGTTTTTACAGCTCATAGACCAAGAGCAAGACTGCATTATAATAGCAATTTTCATCCAAAAACCTCATTTAGTTCTAGAAGGATGGCTGTAGTAATTATCTCCATTTTAGACATGAGAAAACTGAAGCACACAGAGGTTAAATTTACATGACTTCCCCAAGGTGTCAAAGCAGGAGAATTAGGATTGGAAACAAGTCTCCTGTGCTTTAGCCACTAGAGCCTTCGGCCTCCTCCCAGTAAGCTAGCTATACTGTGAGATGTTCATGAAACTTTTCAGAAAGCTTGAAGATGCTACGGTACAATATCACACCCCATAATGAAGATTCATAACTCCCAAGTGGCATGGATAAAAGTATCATGACACTAAAAACTGATAAATTAAACTAAACTTTTATACTATAAGCCTACGTAGTAGTACTAAAAATGGGAAACGTGGAATCAAAAGGTGGTCAAACTTATTAAAATAAATGTATATCAATCATTATTCCAGTTCAAAAATCTATGTAATGGAAATAAGTGATCAGCGAAAGCTCTGAACTAGCTCACTTTATAAAATATATTTAACAGATATAGCCAAAATCCATAAAAAAGGTAATTTCACAGCTGAATGAAATACAGTTTCAAAAATGGACATGAAGAAAAGAATGGATATGGATACATAATTAAGGTTCCAACTGTGCAAGTATCTAATAACGCTGCTCATATCAGAACCCTTTAACTGTTACAAGAATAACATTTCAAGGACTGCAGTTATATGAGATCCCCAAACTTATGCGGCTGGAAATACTTAGCCTTTGGCTTAAACTTATTAGAGAAACATGGGTGGTCCAATATAATCACATCCCTTTTTGTGAGTTACACCTTACTCAAATAGTAAACAGTAGTACACAAAGGACTGAAGTATTCTGTATTCTGATTAACTATGCCACCTCTGATGACAATAAAATATTCAAAGAGCATAACAGTCTTAAAATCAAACTCCATACAACACGCATGAATACTTCCCCTATAAAAGGAAACCTTTATAAAGTAAACTCTTACCAAGTATAAACAAAAATGTGGGGACAGGCAGTGGGATGGGAGTGGGTCATTGTGTAAGAGTTTAAAAAACAGCAAAAGTGAACTAGATCATTCTAACTAGAACTGGTGGTCCTGCAATGAGCTGCTCAAAACTTCACTCCCACTTTTACCACTGCATCAGTCTCCAGAGTATATTCTGCTTTATATTTTACTGATGTCTATATTTTATTATATATGATTAAATGTATATTGAAGCTTGATGAGAAGTGTAGATGTGTGTTTTTGTTGTCCATATACATAATTCAATCTGTCAAAAGAAAGTGATGTAAGAGGGAGCAAGCAGAAAAAGGAAGATGAAAGAACATTTCATATTATTTTAGCATCAATCTTTCAGAATTCAATGTTATTGTCACGGGCTAATACTTCCATCAGAACAGGCTTAACAGTACACAGCAAACAGATACACATTAATTCCACAACTCAACAGTACCCACTACTCCATTTGGCAAAATATTTATTTATAATAAATCTGTTCAAAAGCAGTTGGTCATATTAATTATTCATTTTACATTTTTAGGCTGTAACAATGATTTTGGTAAAAGTAAATAAACTGTCTCTTTTTACACAGTATACAAAAACAGAGACATGAAATGACAGTAACAATAAAACACATGAAAACAGGAAGAATCAGTAAGACAAAAGGCAAAAGCAATATGAATCTGTCTGCGCACAGGCAATGCTGCCATGATTATTTATTACCCGTACAAATCCTCAGCCCCACTTACAATTATCCCCATCATAGCTCTTAACTGCAGATTTACACTCCAGGAGAGGAATCAGATGTTATGTAGCAGCTCCAGTCACTCTTTTCACAGTACTGCATGTCAACACTGGGAATGGTTTCTGATATAATTTAAACTGCACACAGTACTTTAATAAAAAAAATAGTTACTCCCATTCAGTAGTCCCTGGTGGCTTTGATGTCAAATCATACATCACCCGAGAAATGCCAGGAATCTTCTTAATCTCTGTCACCATCTTGAGCACAACCTATGATTAAAGGAAACAAGTACTTATGAAATTATTTACTTTGGAATAACTGCATCCTAGAAAAATTGAAATATTTAAAAGTAAGTTTTTTACTATGGTAGGTTAGATGCAAATAGAAAAAACGACAACCACTAGTACACTGATGCGATAAGAAAATAAAAAAAAATCCTAATCTTTACTGACCAGTAAAAAAGTGGGAGTCAAATACAGAGCATTTTACTTGACAAAATAAACTTTGTATTTTAAACATTTTTCATTTATAAAAATAAAGCAATCATACCACATTTCAAAATACAGGACTATGTAGCACTTTAAAGACTAACAAGATGGTTTATTAGATGATGAGCTTTCGTGGGCCAGACCCACTTCCTCAGATCAAATAGTGGAAGAAAATAGTCCCAACCATATATACCAAAGGATACAATTAAAAAAAAGAACACATATGAAAAGGACAAATCAAATTTCAGAACAGAAGGCGGAAGCGGGGGGGGGGGAGAGAAAGGGAAATGTCTGTGAGCTAATGGCATTAGAGGTGATAATTGGGGAAGCTATCTTTGAAATGGGTAAGATAACTGAGGTCTTTGTTGAGACCCACACGTAGAATGTCAAATTTTAGCATGAATGACAGTTCAGAGATTCCCTTTATAGCAAATAATTTCAAGCAAACTGGCAAAGTATAAAAATGTACTCTTCAACTTTATCTCCACTCACACAAAAGTAACAGCCTAAGTAAAAAAGATGAACTTTAAATCATACTCTGGAGGTTATCAAATAAATTGTATAGGAACAACAGAGAAAGAAAGTTTCTGAGAAAAAGGTCCTCCATTGACAGCCTCTTGTATTCCAGACTTCAAAATTTAGTTAGTGTTAGCAGGAATCCCTCAGAGTGAGTATTTGAAAAATAATTTGTTGATTTAGTAAGAAAGTCAATTACTTGCAAAAGAAGAAAGCTTATCAGACTTCTACAGTTTGAAGAGCACTGAGTCTAAGAGGCAGTTACTCATCTGTGCAGCAACTGACATTCTTTGAGATGGCTGTCCCTATGGATGCTCTGCTGTAGGTATTTCGACACCCTGAGCTTAGAATCGGAGATTTACAGCAGCAGTAGCTCAGACAGCATAGTGCTATCTTGTGACGCCGGGAACGGTGACTGAAGCATGTCATCAACCATCCCTCCGTTACTTCTCTACCATGGAAAACTTCTTCAGACTCTGAAGCAGAGAGGAAGGAGGGTTGTGGAGCACCCACAGAAACAGCCATCTTGAAGAACATCAGTTACTGCACAAGTGAATAACCGGCTCCTCTTCTTTGAGGAGTGTCCCTGTGGGTGCTTCACTGATGGTGACTACAAAGCAGTAATCTCTTTGACTGGCCATCTGTCCCATTATGTTCACCTGAAATTGCGGGTAGGTGTACTTTGACTTTAAAGTTACCCAGGCCCTGTTTTTTTCAGAGAGTGTACAGTCCAGAATCTTATAAAATGGTGCGGAATGAGGAGAGATGGACTGAGTGTCTGCCCGGGTAAGAAAACATCGCCATTTTGGGGAGTAAGTACATCTTCTGCTGGCCTTGCGACTGTTAAGAATTATTTGTTTTACATAAGAACGGCCATACTGGGTCAGACCAAAGGTCTATCCAGCCCAGTACCCTGTCTGCCAACAGTGGCCAATACCAGGTGTCCCAGAGGGAGTGAATCAAACAGGTAATGATCAAGCCATCTCTCTCCTGCCATCCATCTCCATCCTCTGACAAACAGAGGCTAGGGACACCATTCCTTACCCATACTGGCTAATAGCCATTTATGGACTTAACCTCCATGAATTTATCTAGTTCTCTTTTAAACCCTGTTATAGTCCTAGCCTTCACAACCTCTTCAGACAAGGAGTTCCACAGATTAACTATGCACTGTGTGCAGAAGAACTTCCTTTTATTTGTTTTAAACCTGTTGCCCATTAGTTTCATTTGGTGGCCCTTAATTCTTATATTATGGGAACAAGTAAATAACTTTTCCTTATTCACCTTCTTCACACCACTCATGATTTTCTGTTGTGGATAAAGGGGAGGAAATGCTTGCATGCACCTCTGAGAGTTCAAGCATGTTGATGTGAGCTGATGTCTCATGAGGCAGCTGTCTGCCTTGGATGGTGTGGTTGTTGAAATGTGCTTCCCAGCCCTCCAGAAATGCGCCCATAGAGAGCAATAGGGTAGGTGTTATATGTTGGAAGGGTACCCCAGGACACAGGTTTTGTGGCTATAGCCAGTATTCTAGGGAGTGTTTTATTTTGTTTGAAACACTGAGGGACTTGTCTCCAAACACTGTCTGTGTGGGATATAACAGGTCTGGAGCCATCCTTGTAGGCAACACATCTGGCACATCTGGCATATCTGGAGTCTGGCAAGGTTTACTACACAAGCCATTGCTGACATATGCCTGAGAATCGGCAGGCATTGTCTGGCTGAGACCGAAGGTCTATTGATTATGGTAATGGCCAAAGTGGTCAGAGCCAGGGAGCAATGCTGTGGGAGTTTGGTGTACACATGTGCAGTCTAGGATAGTGCCATTAAACTCTAGTTGTTACGTAGATGTGAGTTGAGACTTTTGTTCGTTTATTCAGAATTCCAGGGAAGTGAAGAGATTGAATGTGGGGCTAGTATTCTGTACTGTTTTTAGCAGGGATGGAGCAGTTATTAGACAGTCATCCAGATATGGGAAAATCATGACTCCTGACTTCTGTAGGTGAGCTATGGCTACTGATAACACCTTCAAAAATACCCTCAGAGTCATGGCTAGGCTGAATGGAAAGACTCAGCATTGGTAATATTGACCATGCAGACTGAAGCATAGAAATCTTCTGTGTGCTGGGTAAATTGTGATATAGGAATAAGCATCCTGTAGGTCGAGGGATGACAGCAAATCTCTTTTTTGTGGTGCCAAGGTTATGCCTGCCAATGTAACCATTTTGAAATGTTCCTTTTTTAGGAACTTATTTAGATGGCGTAGGCCCAAGATAGACCGAAAGATGGAAGCCCCTTTCAGAGTCGAAGAACGACAGTTACTGCACCGAAGGTGAGTAACTTCGCTTTCTTCTTCGGGAATGTCTCTGCGGGTGCTCCACTATGGGTGACTGCGTAGCAGTAGTCGCCAGAACGGAAGGAGGGCAAGAGTCCCTATTTATCCGCTATGGAGAGCACTGCAGTCGCCACTGCCCCATCTGAACAAGTGCCTAGAGAAATAGAATAGTGTTTGGCAAAGGTCTCATGTGAGGACCAGGTTGCTGTCTTGCAGATATCCTTCAGAGATACCCCTCTATGAAAAGCTGTAGATGTGGCCACTGCTCTAGTGGAGTGGGTGCATGGTTGGGATGGAAGGGGTAAGCTTTTCGCTGCATACGATTGCATTATGCATGAGGTTACGAGATTGGAAATCCTCTGGGAAGATAGGCGTTGACCCTTTGACCTCTGTGCCAAGGAGACGAATAAGTGGTCCATACACCTGAAAGATCTAGTGCGATCTATGTAGAATGTTAAGGCCCTGAAGGTGTCCAAGGAGTGTAGGGCCGCTTCTCGTGGTGAGGCATGAGGCTTCAGGAAAAAGGTTGGCAGAATCACTGGTTCGTTGACATGGAAATGGGAGACGATTTTGGGTATGAATCTTGGGTGTAGTCTCAAGACTACTCCATCCTTATGGAAAATTGTATATGGTGGCGTGGCCATCATGGCGGAAAGCTCACTCACTCTCTGCGTGCCGATGTTATGGCAATCAGGAAAACGGTTTTCAAAGTGAGGAAATGCAAGGATACAGTCACCAGGGGCTCGAATGGCAGCCTCATTAGGGCGTCGAGGACTACCATCCAGGCTCCACACGGCTCCACACCAGTGGGACTGGGTCGTGCAGTGGGGCCCTTGAGAAATCTCTTAGTAGTAGGATGGGCGAAGACAAACGCCATCTATCGGTGATGTGAATGCTGATATTGCTGCGAGGTGCACCCTGATGGAGGCCAACGTGAGGCCTTTGTTCTTTAGGTGCAACGTGTAGTCCAGTACGGAGGGGATCGACGGATGTGTCAGACTGTGGTGGTTTGAGGTACACCAGGAGAATCTGCGCCACTTGTGAAGCTAAGTTTTTCTCATGGTTTGTCGTCTACTGTGTACTAGGACGTGTTGGACTGGAACGGAGCAGAGGGATTCGAATGGAGTCAGCCAGTTAGGAGCCATGCTGTTAGGTTCAGCATTTGTATCTGGGAGTGTTTCAGGCATCCTCGGTCTTGCGTGAGGAGATCGTGGAGAGGCGGAAGGTGGATTGGTATCCGCACGGAGAGACGGTGGAGGAAGGGAAACAAGTGCTGGCGAGGCCAGTCCGGGGCTATGAGGATTAGCATTGCCCTGTCCACCTTCAGCTTCTGAAGGACTTTGGGGATCAGAGGTATGGGGGGGGGAATGCATAGAGGAGGGGTCCATGCCAAGTTATAAGGAAGGCATCCCCCAGGGAAGCACGGCCTAGGCCCGCCCTGGTGCAGTACTTGCGGCATTTTGTATTGGTGGGAGTTGCAAAGAGGTCCACTTGGGGAGTACCCCAACGTTGGAAGATCTCGCGTAGGATGCCATCGTGCATTTCCCATTCATGCTTCACATGGAAGTGTCTGCTCAGGAAATCTGCCGTCACATTTGTGGTGCCAGGTAAATAGGATGCCGTAGGTGTTACTCCGTGGCGAATGCACCAGTTCCAAAGGCGGATGGCTTCCGTGCATAGGAAACGGGAGCGAGCGCCGCCTTGGCAATTCACGTAATACATGGCTGTAATGTTGTCCATGAGTATCCTCACCGTGGTGTTTCGAATGTAGATGAGAAAGGATTTGCATGCATTGAAAATGGCGCGTAGCTCTAGAAGGAAGGTTTATGTGTAGCCGTGCTTCTTGTGGGGACCATTGGCCTTGGACTGAGAGGGAGCCCATGTGAGCCCCCCAGCCTAGTAGGGAGGCATCCGTTGTGATTTCCCCTAG